AGTGAATGGATTTTATTCCGTATCTGTCTACTAGGAAACTTTCTTGAAGACAATAAGTATTCCTCTCTGAAGGAAAGAGCTTCAACTGTTTTCAAGTTATAAATATAGAAAGCTTTTTTCACACATTTAAAGAGAGATTTCCTAGAGGGCTTTTTTGTTGTATCTGTACATTAGAAAATTGACACAGATGCGTACAGTCAACTTTGAAGTTCTATTTTTCTTCTCAGACTCTCAATAATGAGAAATTGGGAACTGATGAATTGAGATATGAGCAGTAAATTTGAAAGTTAATCCTTAACTCTGTCTTCTTTTTATTTCTTAAAATATGTCCTTTCCACGTATAAATGTAATTCTCAAGTATATCTATACAAAGTATAATTTGCTACAAATTGGAATTTTTTTTAAAAAGAATCTACCGCCCAGTGCTCTTACTATAGCATATAAAGACATGAAGTCTTCAGAACTAAATTGGTCTAAAGATCTTATTTAGGCTTTAATCAAATCCAGTGTGAATAGTGAGGCAGTAGTGTCAGTTAATTCATTGTATTGAGCAGAAATCATATTTTAAAGCACAGAGTGGCAAAGACAGGGATGAGCTTTTATAATAATCCTGCATTTCTGATGTAACAGTGCTAAACCTTGACAATAGAGTGCAACTGATTGTAATATTTAAGTCCAAAGATGTTACACTCTGCTTTGTGTTCTGTCCTGCAGTTCTGAGCCTCAGGTTTTACTGCTTTCTAAACTCTTTAGAAAAATTAGATCATCGAGGTGACAGATCACAGGGCAAGGAGTTCATATTTTCAGTATCATTGCCCATTCGGTATTTACAAGACACATTTCTTCTGTGCATCAGAGCAGATACCTTAGACAGCTCTGGGTGGTGAGAAGAAAGCTGCGGGGTGGGGAGAAGCATACACACACTGGCGGCCGCTCTCTGCAGAGTAATCAGCAGCCTTTTTCCCTATGCAGAATGCTAATAGCATCATTTGTCTTCTGCTGAATATCTTAGGCAGTAGCTGCAGGAAATGGGGATTTGATGCAAGTACAAATGTCAAAGGAATCATATTATGATCTAAAACAGGGTTTTATTAGTTATCAGAAAAGAGAAAGTGGCTTCATAGGTCAAGGGGCAAAAAATAGCCCTTAATTTGTACCCCTTTCTGGTCATTAAGAATTCTGCCACTCCACTGGTGACTAAAACAGCAACTTGATTGCCCCTATTCCTGGTGACAACACTTCCAGCTGCTCCGAGTTTCCTTCTCTGCATACAAATTCCAATATACAAAATACTTAAGATTTCCAGAGGACAGTTTCAGGAATGCAAAAGATAAACAAACTATTGGGATCATCTTACTGGTACCGCTCCTTCTCTTCAGCCTGAGAGAATAAAGTACACGCATTCAATGGAAGTTGCACACATGTGTGGAGGGGTCTGTACAAGGAGTTTTTGTTTGTTTCTGCTAGGGCGGGAACAAATTCGACATGTTTGTTATATGACTCCTATTGCTTCACCACCACTGGGATACGGAATCTGTGTAACATTTATGTTCTCCTTTGAGATCTGCAGCACTGGAGCTATCTAGAGTGGATAGGAATGGCAAATCAGGTGCATAATCATATTTCCAATGCTGTTTCCACTATGGTTTTGGGACTTTTTTGTTTGTTCTAGGCATGTTTTAGGCAATCCAGGAACTTAGTCTGAAAACTGTTTTAGTACAATGACTTTCAAAGGGGTCTTGGCTAATCCTAATGCCCATCCCCAACACTCCTAATTCTGAGAGAAAAGGCAACTTCCCAGTTCCAATATTTATACTATCACAATTGCTTACAGCAAAAAGGAAGGAAACCTCACTCTACAGTATCCTTCAAATTCCCCATTCCCCTCTTGGCAGGACATACCTGATGAGGAATATATCGTGGTTACTGTGTTCGCATCAGCTTCCATTATGGATGTGCAGCTGGATTCAGTCAAGGAGCCTTTGACAGTCACGGGAGCAATGCTGGGATGGCGTAAGGCAGCTTTCAGGGGAGCAATGTGGTTGTACTGAACAGAGGACAGGCAGCCAGTGAAACCATAGACATTTGCCTTTGAGACTTCAGGGTCCAGTGACAAACTATCTGCAGTACAACAGAAAAACACTCCAGGAATTATCTGGTTTAGGAAGGCATTAAGAAAATGAATCCTTTTTTGCCTTACCCATCCTTTTTACTTCTCTTCAACCAATCTCAACTGTTCACGTTCTCCTTCAGCAGCCTACAAGTTCTCCCTGGCTTGGCCCATGAGGTTCCCATCCCAGTCCTTCCTCTACAATGCTACTTACATTGAAACAAGTTGGCTTGGACATAAAAGCCTGCATTGTGCTTCTTTCCTCAACCATTTTCTCTACTGTCTGGACAATATCTAACACATCATGGGTGCTAACCATGGCAATAACAACAATAATAATAATAAACAGTAAAAATAGCAACACTGAATATCACAGGATCCTGGGGATGATGCTCTTTAACTTTTTTGCATCAGTTTCACAGATATGGACCGTATCTTCAAGGCATTCTACCTCCTCCACTCTTTTAATGAAGGAGCCTGCTCTCTATTGTCTATCATACAACGCTTCATGTGGCCTAATATTGAATGGCTTGCTAATATAGGCTTCCACCCTTCTTCAGGAGTTTATTTTTCAACTTAATTCTTCTGATGCACCCAATCATGTTACTACATTTTTATAATCAGAGTTCCTAGGAATCTTCCTAGTTATGAGCTAGCAGGCTCTCACTCTGCTAGCCCCATTCCACTAGTAAAATAAGAAGCAAAACTATACCTCTTTTTATCTAAATCAAAACCAAAACCAGTATCTCCATGCTCTTTTCCAGCCTGAAGATGAGATAGATAGTGCAATTAATTTATCTGTTGGTCTGTGTTCATTTAAATTTCACAAAGAGAAAGCCAATTCAAAGGTAAGTGTTTTTTATTTAGTTCCAAATGTTTTAATATCAAAGATTGCTCGGGAAAGTCAGTGAAGGACAGTGAAGCCATCTTATCTTTCCTCCAAGCTCTCATTTACTTTCCAGAAATTGAAATTCATACTGCTCAGAGGTCTGTAATATGATGTGCCTTATATCTAGGTCGATCAAACAAGCAAAAAACCACAAATGCACACATATATAGTATCAAAACTTATTCAAAGTCTTAAAAATTACCTGCTAATGAAAAAAACTTCTAGCATTGAAAGATTTGGAAATACTTCCAATGACATTGGAAAATAAGGATTCCCAGGTTTTCAAGTTTATTTCAAAGCTTGAAAGAGTAAGTTGGTAAACTTTAAAATAAGGTCCAATTTTTCCACTATCATTCAAATACAATGATTTTACAAGCTCTCAGCCAAAAGGATTTAGAAAAAAAAGTAGACCTCCTCTTACAACTGACATTGCTACCTGAATTACATAAACTTCTTTTACACATAAGAAAATACAGAGAAATCTCAAAACTAGCCCAAATGACACAGTAATTTTGTGCTCAAGGTCTGTGACCGTTATGTCATGTAGTCAGAGGGAATTAGCCAAGAAAGATTTCTAATTATGTTTGAATGTCTTCTTGGAAGTATAATGTGGAAGAGTTTGGCTGCTTCTCAGCAAAGAAAGGTACGCTGTGAGCTTGCTCTACAAGGAGTCCTACAGGAGAGATGCTCAGTCTGCAGAGCTGTCCTGGGGACAACCTCTGGGCTGTGAGTAACTGCACGAAAGAGAGATGGGAAGGGAACCGTGAGGCTTTGCCACTGGAAAAGCTGTAGCCTTACGGAGGTTCACGTTTGTTCTTCTCAAAGTGTGCAGGAATTGGCTGCATTCAGGTTTTTAATGAAATTGCAGCAGGGGTGTTATAAAACAGACAAATAATTGTATCCAAGTTTCTGCAAGAAGGCTTATATAAAACTAAAAGACTGATTTACAGTATTTGCCATCTTTGGTGAATTTATAAAACCCTTTGTAAACATTCCTACTCTCAGCCTTTCCTGTTTTCTTAGCTCTGACACAAAAGGTGGATTTGTTGTTATCTTTTAGACGTCAGGCAATCTAAATTGCTCTGTTCTGCCCCAATGTGCAAAAGGTAAAGCCTAAGAAATAGTGAATTCCTTTTTCATGGTACAGCAATTTGAAAAGTCCAAGATACAGTACTTTTGAAGGCTTTTTTAGAAAGTCAAATTAAGGGCCAATTCCAGGAGTCTTTTGTCAAAGTAAGCTTTGCATGAATGAGAACTAGGAGATTTGTTGTTGAAAGGCTTTGAAATTTGAAAGAAAGAAATCAAAGAACAAACCAAAACCAACCCCAGAGTCCTCTGGTAAAAATCTCACGTGCACAGATACAGTTTGCTTTTTTATATAGCTTTAGGTGCATGCCTTATGTCTTTCAGAAAGTGGGGCTCTCAACAAGACCTGCGCAATTTGGATGTGAATGACTTGTACTGCCCTCTGAATTCTTGAGTGGATAACGTAAATCTGTGATTATGACATGGTTACCTCTGTGAAAGGCTTATTAAAGGCCACTCTGTCACTTGAAGTCTTTAAATCACGGTAAAATGTTTTTCCAAAAGATATTTTCATTATGTGACACGGTGCTCAGTAAGAGAAGCAACTCGGTGAAGTTTCAAGGTCTGTGTTGAAGCAAGGTCATATGAAACGTCAGTGGCCTTCCTCTGACCCGGTTACGCTGTGAATCTTTCCATGCATTTGACTGGCCTGGAAAATCACACTGAATTGCTGATGATGGCTTGGTTTGATCTTCTGACATTTTAGCATTGTGTTTCTGTTCTCGATACTGGAGACCGAGTTACTTTGGATGATTTCTACGTGGGGGGTGAAAAGGCAATCTTTTTCGGCTTTTGAGTAATTTAACTGTTCATTCCCCACAACTTAAGTTCACCTGTATTTTTAGGAAGTAATATTTAAGCTTTGTCTGCTGAGTTGTGCATAAGTTGGTCTGGCTTCTTGCTGGGTTCTCTAGCTGCTCCCTGGAAGCTGTCTGCAATGTCATAGCTCAGTAACTTTTGTGTCGGTTTTGCTTTCCTGCTTTCCATGTATTTGCAATGGCTTTCCGCGATAATGAGGATTAAGTCTAACATGTAGTTGTATTTTTCAAACTTTGTTGATTGTATCAAGATAATTTATCTGCTGATTCATTCCTATTCACCAAAACAGACATCCTGTTCCACTGCTGTTTCTTTGTGCACCTCTGCCATATACAACACACTTATTTTAAGATCTTAAATAAATAAAGCAATTTTAAGTCCTAATACCTCAGTAATGGGGAATTAATTTTCATCATAAATAGAATTCTGCCAGAATTCTCTAGGACCAAGCATTAAGCTGCTCAGAAATGTATCAGCAAATTGACATAGTAAACAATAACTAATATGACAGGTAACAGGAATCAAAGAGAAATCAAAAGTTATTTGTGTGCAGGGAGAGTGGCTCAAAAGACCTTCTTTCTAAAGATGAAAATGGGACCATAAACATTATCCAATATCTTTTTGTTCTTTCTTTATAAACATTAATTTCATGTTACTCAGAAACTTAAATCTTAGGCCAAAGTTTACTTGTGTGCTCACTTACATCCAGGAAGGCCCATCATGGATTTCCTTAATTGAAATTTATTTTTAACATCAGTGAGAGCAGACATAGCCTGTTTTAAATGTTTATGCCATAGTTAATTAATTAACCTAAGTGAATCGCTGGTAGATGCGCTGGTTGTCATTTTTTTGAGTCTGAGAAATAGAAAGATTATTTTTGTGGGAGTTAATGATGTGTATCCATCACCCCATTTTGCCAAGGTGCTGAACAGCACTGGCAAGATTACTTCTTAGGCATTGTCACTAGATTTGAGCCCATGACCTTGAAGTAAAAGACTCTTGTAGTCTCCACACTGCACCTGTCTCAGAAGGGTTGACTAGCCCGTACTGTGTAGTTACCTCGAAAAATATGGTGCTATGTCCTTCAACAACCTCAGTAAACATTGCTGATATTAATCATTAATTTAGAAAGGGCAGAAAGCATATCTTGGATTAGACTGGAGCCCACAAAAAGCACAGAAATTTTTCCTGGTTAGAACCATTGAGCTCAACCAGTTTGGCTCTTGCTTAAGAAAAGTATGAGTTTGAACAGGAGACCGGCTCCAGGCATTCAATGCACCTACAAGACACTTCTGAAAAAGCAAGGGACAGCAAGAGCAAACAGAGTAAAGGTACTTTTTCTCACAAGTTTTCCCAGGAGTGAGCAGAATGCGCCAGGAATTGCTTGCCGGCAATTGAACATTTCGTGCCAAGTGGAACATTTGGGAATTTTTGTTTCATTAGGCTTAGTGGAGATAATTTCAAACATGCATTTAGTATGTTTTCTTAAAGACAGTTTGTCATCAAAAATGAAGCACTGCTTCGAGTTGCAATGTGAAATTTGTTACATGTCACAGTTTTTGACATTTGACTCCTAATCTGTCACAACACAGCCAGCCCTATGTGATTTTGCATGGGCTAAAAATATAATCTAAAAAAGAAGAAAATATGCAAGAAGATGGAGAGACGATGTGCAAAAGAATACATGCTTTTCTCAGGAGCAGATGGCTAAAATCAATTCAAGTAGCAAGAATTCAGAGTAAAAATAAAATTTCTAGGTAGAAGTAGATGACCTTGGACACTTATTTAGGCACTATTATCATCAAGAAAACAGGGATTTAAGCATGGTGTTATGATCATATGGTAAATGATTTTGCTGGGGAAAAAGTCTGAATAGATTTGGTCTCTTTCTGATAGAGACATGATGGCATTATTGTCTTAGACCTTGGATTGCTTGAAGTGCCTGGGGTAGCCAAGCTTTGCTTATTTCAGCTGCTGCCATCTTGGTCCCAAATACCTCTCCCCTTTTATCCTAAGTAGTAATTTCCATTTTCCTTAATGCTTTACTAGGCTATTAGGAGGAAAAACAATGACTTTTAAAGGTGCCTTATAATGTGCCCAAGAGATCTTTTTCTGGGGTATGGTCCTTGTAAGAAATAGGTACTTAGGGCAAGAAGAGTCTGCAATAAAGAAAAGAGCTTTGCAGTGACCAGAAAAGTCCAGCCAATATCTCTTGCA